CCCCAAAACCCCAAAACCCCAAAACCCCTTGGCTCAAAAATTTTCAACAATTTTATGTAAAATGATGTTTTCAATTAATTCATTAAAGAATTATATCTATATATATTTAAATGTTTAATGATTTATCATTTCTTATGGACTATGGTAAGCCCATCAGAAAGGTAGATGGTATGAGTCTCTACTCTTTCATCATTCATGGCTAGCTCTACAATTCGCCAGATTTGTGATGTTTATTCATCCTTAGTTCTCAATTCTTCGTTTACAATTTTCCCAAACCAAATTGTGTTGTCAATCAGCAAGATACCGCCTGGTCTCAGTAATTATATAACTCGATCGTAGTAATTAGGATAGTTGATTTTATCAGCGTCAATAAAAGCAAAGTCAAAGGAATTCTTATTGTTTTCATCAGCTAGCAACTCATCCAATACTATGCTACCTCCTTCAAGTCTTAATTAAATCTTATGATCTACGCCTGCTTCTTTCCAATATTTTTTTGCGATTTCAGTCCACTCTTCGCTGACATCAATTGCAATAAGAAGTCCATCTTCTGGTAGCACCTCAGCAAAAGATAGCGCAGAGTAGCCAGTAAATACTCCTAGTTCTATACCTTTCTTGGCATTTGCTTATTTAACTAAAAATTTCATATGCTCACATTGATCAACACCAGCCAGCATGATTGACTATCTCTGGCACTTCTCAATCGTTTCTTGCCTTAATCTCAACTTAATATCTGAAATTTTGTTCATTCTGAGATTAACGAAATCCTGAACTTCTATTCTATTATCATGCGGCTTTTCACCATACTTCATCATTACCATTTCCTTTGTTATGGTTTTTCCATTATCTAATCTGTCTAAATTTATATCTTCCATAGGATGATAATATTTATATGTATTGAAGTGTCTAGAAAGCTAAAGTAATTTTAATAATGATTAAGGAATATTTTCTTTATTAATCCTTTAATGCGGCCTTCTAATTTGATTCTATCACAGTATTTTGGGGTTTTGGGGTTTTGGGGTTTTGGGGTTTTGGGGTTTTGGGG